ATGGAAAGAAAATGCGGTGATCTGTCGGCTCAAACGGTCTAATTCAATTAGATACGGGGGGTATTTGTTTTTTTTTTAAATTGTTTATTTATTTTACTATGTAAATTTATTTGAAATAACCAATAAAAATAACATTACGATGACATCGGAAAAAAAAAAAAATATAGACTTATTATCTTTGATCTATCCATATATTATATATATACTTTTAATATTAATATGTAATTAAATGTGATGTGTGTGTAACAAAAATACCTAGAAAAATGTAATTAGATGTGATGTGTGTATATATAACAAAAATACTTTTTTTTTTCCTAGAAAAATGTATCAAAAAAATTCGATAAAGAGGATTAGGGAAATTGATGCCTTAATTGCAAAAGAGTAAATGTTAATTTGTTTCTTTTTTTTTTTTTTTAGGCAGTGGCAGTTGCGAGGCGTCAAATATTCGCTGTTATGATTTTCTTTTTGCTCAATTTCTAACCATTCTTTAATTTCTAGCCCTCACTTCTTACAAGTCAAGGGTGCCGAAATTCAATTAAAATCTTTTGCATATAAGATTACAACCGAACATCCAGAGCAAATTCCAGAAGGATATCAAAATCCAAACGTTTTCCAAGTGTGTCAAGGAGAAATATCTCCACAATTATCAGAACCGATAATAATTTTAGTGTGCAAACATATATTCCACAGAAGATGTGTTGAAGAAGATTGTCCAGCATGCAAATATCCAGAAGAATCAGATCATCATGATCACAACGATGATGAAGATGGTTACGAAGACATCAAAGCAAATTCCTCAAGAAAAAATTTAGATTCTTCTGCCGACACGCATGGTTTTTCTGCCAGTTCAGATGGATCTTCTACTCAAGATCACAGTGATGACGAACGTAATGACAATGATGACTATACATGGGATGGTAATTATTTTGCCAAAAACGTAATATGTAATAAATACGTAATTACGAAATTAATTACGAAATTAATTACGGGTGACGAAATTAAATGACACCTATTATTTATCTCGTTATACTAGTATAATGACATAATTTGTCAACTTTTTTTAGAATTATAGAATTTATTCTGTTATAACGACATGCCAGTATAATGGGAGAACCAATCGAAATCATTCTCATTTCTGAAAAAACATAAGGAAATAAAACTTACACCGGGATCAAGATTGACCGGCACCATGGAAAATTCTGATAACACTTCTGTATAATGCTGATAAGTTTTAAATTTCCTGATAAAACATGAATGAAATAAAATAAAAATATATAATAAAAATAAAATTACAAAATCACATGATAATGATTCTCATATGACTTCTATATGAACTCCCGTTATAATGACATTCTCGTCATATTGACATTTTTTGATATTTCCAATAATTAATTCGTTGTTATTCATAATTAATTTCGTCGCCCGTAATTAGTTTCGTCACCCGTAATTAATTTCGTCACCCGTAATACGGTAATTAATTTCGTAATTATGATTTTAAAGAGGAAAATGGTAATTAATTACGATAATTACGTATTATGTACTTACGGTAATTAGGCAATTACCATCCCATGTATAATGTTAACAACGGTTTGCATAGAAAATTTTCACAATAGTAATTAATTCGTCGCCCCTAATTAATTACGTAATTACGTTTTTAAAAAGTGAAAGTGGTAATTAATTACGTTAATTACGAATTACGTATTTACGGTAATTAGCTAATTACCATATCGTGTATAGTAATGTCTGGTGATGGGTGGTTAATAACTATATTAATAACTTAAAATTAGTGTTATTATTAACCAAGTTATTAACTTTAAACAAAAGGATTGGTTACCTTCTCTTTAATCAAAGGAACTATACAGCAAATATTGTGCAAGAAGCAACAACAATTTTTTTCAGAAAATAATAGCAATCAATGTTTTGATGAATTTTTAAAACAACAACATTTTTGATCAATGATTCAAAATCCCTTGCATTTTTGGAAATCAGTAAAAATGCAACACCCAAGTCGCAATTCATCCTCTCTCTTTACCTGCAGCTTCAGTGATGCGAGCATTTCTGGTTTATTATGGCATCAATTCATACATCAAAACGTAATTGCCTTACAAATACTCGTGCTTCAAAAATTGCAAAAATCAAATGGCATTCATTTACTACAAAATCGTCAAATAATCTAAGTCAAACTCCAATACCTAACAATTGATGCTAATATAAATCCTGAATTTGAATAAATGAAGTTTCGCAAGATGAAGTGGAAGAAAATAGGATAGAAATTGAAATTAATGCATAGGATTTAATTGCAATGTTTAGAAGAAACCCTTCTTTTAATTTTATATTATTTACATGCTCAAATTGATTTTTCAATAATTAAAATACTAATAAAAACTAACAAATAATCGCTTTTGAGTAATATATTTTTTTGTTATATATAATAATATTCGTGTGTGTAACCGATTCATTGAATTCGATGAAATTCATCGAGCCATCATGGGTATCACATGTAATTCCACATATGCCCATAATAATAATTTTCTTTTCAACTTTAAAACCTTCTATTCTTTTGCGACCTTTTTTTTTTTTTTCAATAAAAATGCATATGAATCCGTGCCGTTATAATAATAATTATTATTATGTGTTATTATATCGCATATATAATAATATATTTTAATTATACGTTATAGTTTATAAATTATAATTTATTTTCTCGAGAATCAGATCAAAATAACAAAGGAAAAAAGAAAATGTTTAGATTTTGTAATAATAAAATTTCAATTATTAAAGAATTTTCATCATCAATTCCAATTATTTTTATTAAAAATGATACAATATCAAGATCAACCAAATTAAATAGAAAATTTATCACAAACAACACCAACAATAAAGACTTAATTTTCACAAATAATAAAAATCAATTAAAATCTTCTTCCCAATTATTTAACAATAGTAAATTTTTGAATAAAAAATTTTTTTTCTTCTTACCATCTGGATATCCTTATGATGAAATCCTCGATGTTCATGAGATTTTAGAAACTTATTCAGGTAAACATAAAAAACTAATACTATTTGTTTTTTTTTATTCCATAATTAATATTTTTTCGTCCTTAAATAGATAAAGCTCTGGATGATCCACAACAAAAACATTATCATCTTAATAGTAATAAACCAATCAAGGGAGACTCACCAAATCAAAAATATCATGGTAGTTTAGCTGATCTTAACATTAATCGAAGTCCTGGAAACCTTGAAAGTAGTGATGCTAAAAACAATCCCAGAGGTAGCCCTGGAGGAATAAGTGGAGGTGGTATGAGAATTAGACATGACCGTCGCAATTTTAGAGTTTTTATTGATACCTTATTTACTCCACGTGTAAAAGATGCAGTATTCAGTACTATACTTGGATTGACTGTCATTTTTCTAGGCGGTGTCTTGTATCAATCATGGTATTAAATTGTTTAATATTAATGTTATTAACCTTAATAACACTATTATAATTATTGACTATATATATATATATTGCAGGTATGAGTGGCATGAAGGTCGTAAAGTATTAAAAGCATTCACCGATTCACTACCCTCGCTAAGACCAAAAATGAACTACCTAGAGAAAGATGAATACAAGAGTTTGTTTCATGCAATAGCAGGTGATACAAAAGGAATATATTATTTGTTGGTGGGGGAGAATGGGACAGGAAAATCACAAATTGTGTTTCAGGCAATGGATAGATGCAATCAGTTTGGTATAGTGTTTTGTGAGGCTCATTCAAACCCGGAAATATTTAAAGTACGATTGGGTAGATCGTTGAATTATACTTATAGAGAAGATTATATTGGTGGATTGTTTGCTAGAGAAGCTCCGGAACGAGGTAATTAATTAAATTTTTGGTGAATTCTGAATTTTTTCATAAAAAAATCCATGTCTCAAGCCAAAAAAATTTAGGCTCAGCATTGTTGGATATTGAGAAGGCGCTGAATGTTGTTGAGGAGGCAGCATACAAATATAAAGGCAAGTATGATAAACCACTTGTGCTCATAATCAACAATATTCATTCGTTAAAAGATGATGAAGATGGTGAAGATATGTTGGAATTGTTACAACAAAGAGCCGAATCATGGGCTTCAAGTGGTGTTGTCACTATGATATTTAATACTGATGATCATTGGGTTTATGAAAGGATGAGTAAATAAATAATTATTTTTTTAATCAGTTGTTTAATTGTTAGTTATCAGAAGATAGACAATTCTAATTAGTTAATTAATTATATATCATACATATGTGTGTAGGAACAGATGACTCACATATGGAGGTTATTAAAGTGCATGATTTAAATAAAGATGAGGCAATTGAATTCCTGAAAGATAAAAGAAACGGACGTGAACCTGAAGAAGTATTGGAGAAAATTGTGGATGAATGTGTTGGCGGTAGACTATTATATTTAAATAAATTGGCTAAAGCAGACGACGTAGATTTATTTGGTAATATATCGTTTAGATTATCATTATTAATTATCCTTATTAATTATATATTAATTTTCCCACAAAACAAAAATTATAGAGGCAGCAAATAGATTAAAGGAAGAACAGAAAACTTGGCTGATAAATTTGATTGGTTTAATTCCAAATTTTGATGGATTAGAAATTGAATCACAACGATATGCAGTAGCAGCTTGGAAATTGATTCGAGAACTAGTTCGTTCACCAACCAAAACTATTTCGATAATTGAAGGTAGATCAATAATTGGTAATTCAAGATATTTGAAGAAATTGGATCATGATGGAATAATAATGATTGATCAGGACAATCAGATAAAACCAGACTCACAGATTAGTTATGATATTTTCGAAGAGATGATCCAATCGCCGGATTTCAACAAGATATTGAAAAAAGTTGATCAGAGATTAATGAAAGCTGATAAAATTATTTGGGATAATGGAAATAAATGGTGGAAATTTTGGTGATAAAGAAATAATATTTGTTGTTCGTGTGTAACAAGATGATTTCGATTTTTTTTTTTTTTTTTTTTTACAGAGAACAAGCATCAATCAATTATATTAATAATAATAAAATTACAAAAATGAATTTTATTGTTTGCTGCTGCCGATTGCTATTACATTAATATTATTTGGTTACTGTCTTTGTTGTAACAATAACATATTTCATTGTTCCAATATAACAATAATAGTACACGTAATTATTGAATAGTATTAGATATACAATGTAACAAAATTTAGATTTAAATTATACAGATTTTGTTATTCTTGAAGGTGATAGTAATGATAATGAAGAAGATAATAATAATAACATGGTAGCTATAAGTGATATATTTGGTCCATACGCGTTAATTGTTAAAAAAGTATGCAATAGATGTAAACATATAGTAAAAAATTATCAGGACAAAAACGGAAAATTTTGTGTAATTTTAGTAGACTTGTATTGATTTCATACATTTTAATATAAAACAATTGATAAGAAGCAATGAAGAGAATTTAGATAATTTTAGACAAACAACATTCTACAAATCATTTAATAGACTTGAGATTGTGTTAATTAGTATTGAAAAATTCATTTATAGAATTTCAGATTATGGAATTGTTAGAATTTTTTGGATCTTGAACATTCTAAGAAATGTGGAATTGGTTTGTAAAGGATTACAATTTAAGGATATGACAAATTTTATATTTCAACAAATTAAAGAGTTACTTGACAATCATTTCAATGAAATGTGGACATTATGTATGGATTTTCAGAAGGTAATTGATTAATTGTGTTTGTGCATTCATTATTTGTTTATGTTTCTAGCTAGGAAACCAATCACTTTTTTTATAGAAATGAGATATAATTGATACAAGCAGATTGATATTAGTGAAAACATTACAGGAATCATTTAAAAAGAAAAATTCAGAGGTCCAAACACTACTAAAAAATCTACTAAGAATAAATAAAGATGATATAGAAGATTGTGGCAAATCGAAACTATTTCGACCATTTGCAGATCTGGTCGAAACTGATTTTTACTATGCAGTTGCCTCAAGCCGAAACATTTCAACTTTGGGTTTTTAATTTCGACGAAGATTGAAGAAATGAAATTCCTAGAAATAAATAATCTAAAAGTATTATATTAATAAAAAGTTTTAAACTAATATTTCATCGCCAATAATCGACGTTGGTCTCAACTATTTTGAAGAAACGAAAGTCAAAACCAAGATTAAAATTTATATAGGTTTGATAAGGGCCTCCACATGAACTAAATACAATTTTGGTGTCTTCGAGTAGAATTATTATACTAATGTTATGGCCTGAATCCGAAATCAGTTATTATCTTGTTTAACTTCTCAACACTCCCTGCTCGATGGGTTGAGAATTATCACCCTGAAATACCCATAGTCCAGACACTCAAGAAAAGGCAATAGGTTTTCTTTGAGCATCTTTTCATATTCTTAATCTAATACTGCCCTCAACTCGTATCTGATGTCTGGAAAAGCAACCCATATCATTATGTAAATCATTATGGAAAACAATTATTACTTAATGCACAACAAAAGTGACTGCGATAATAAAACTTTAGATCTTTCGATTTTAATTATTCTTCAAAACTTGGTCACATCTATCACAAAGTTCTCCTTCGTTATTAGCAGAAAAAATCCAACATCTTGGACACTTGTATAAATCAGCTTTTTTTACCTGAATTTTAAATAATCCCTTTACATTATCAATTTTTTTCAAACCATCAAACTCTTCTTTAGTTACTGGTGGTTGTAAATTGTCAGTCGCTGCTGATGGATTGAATGAATTGAGTGTTGTATTTGATGTGATAAATATTGAATTTAATTCTAATTCTTTTTTTTAAAATGAAGAATTTTTTATTTATTAAGTATTTATTTTGGAGGGGTTTTTTTTAATAATAAGTAATGATGATAATGGCGACAAATAAAATTTTACCAACCGTGCTTTTTTATTAAGTTATGCAAAGGTGATGGTGTCACATCTAATTCAATGGTAGCTTCTAAAGAACTTCTTATCAGCCTTTTATAATCAAAATAACGTTATTATTAATATATAACTTTTTTAAATAATAAATTTTTTTTTAAAAAAAACATACTTATTCTTTCTAGCATTTTCCAATGATTGATTCACTTCTGATCTCAAAACTTTTAAGACATTCCATTCTTCTTGAATCTTTAAATTATTCCAGTTCTCATCCTATAATAACAAAACAAATGATAGTAATGATAGTAGTCACGGGATAACAAATGATGATGATGATGATGATGATGATGATTTAATAATAAAAATAATTTTTACCAAATTATACCATCCTAATTTAAATACACTTTCATATTCTGTCGAATTACAACTTTTAAAATTTTCATAAACTTCTTCTGCTAAATGTGGAACTATTGGAGCCAATGCAATTGTGTAAACGTTTAAAATCTTTGATGGTATTGTAAAAAAAGTATAAGAAAGTTACTATTATGTAGAGCCGAAATAAAAGCAATTGTTAATAAAAATGTCGAAATATATTTACATGATACAAAACGGTTTGAACACTTGTTCTGCTTAAACTTTTAATATGATCAGCATATAATCTATCTTTTACTATGTCAAAATAAAATGCTGATAATGTAACATTTGTAAAATTATTCAAGAGTTGGGTGACTGGTTGATAATAGATTAATAGATTAATGATATTTTTTGATGATGTTAATTTTAATGCTAATTACAACAACAATAAATAAATAAATTTTTTATTACTTACTTTTATTAAATCCAAAGCTTTCATATGAAGCATTAATGCTTTTACCAAATTGGTATAATTCATGAAGCATAAATTTATCAATCTATAATTATCATGCATGTATTAAATTAAGATAATTAATAATGTAGAATATATATATGTGTCTATGTATATGATAATAAATATTACAGGTTTTAAATCATCATAACAAACTAATTGTTGATGACTAAAATTATTCAAATTTCCCAACATAAATCTTGCAGTTCCACGATATTTTCTCATATTTTCTGCTATTTGGCCTTTTTTTTTTAATTGAATTAATATATTAAAGAAAAATGTTAAAAATAATAATATTTGTTTTTTATTATTTATAATTTTAAAATCTATATAATTAATAAAGACAAACTTAATATGTTTTTCCCGATATTGACATCTTTCACATATTCAGTTGAAGCAACCCATAATCTTAATATGTCTGCTCCATATGGTGGTTCTTTTGCTGAATTCTAAATTTTTAAAAAATTTAGATATAGTAAATTTTTTGATTTGGTTAAACCGTTATTGAATAACATTCAAACAAGTTTATATATATATTGATATAAAACGGAAATAATTACCTTTCCACCTTTTATAATAGTTTTAGGCTCAATAAAATTACCCTTTGATTTTGAAAATTTGTGACCTTTTTCATCCAACACAAATCCATGTGTAATTACTGTTGAATATGGCGCTTTATTATTAACCGCGACTATATAATATATATGTGTATATATATATATGTTAGGCAACTTGAAAAAATAGTTTTATATAATTTTTATTGTCCTGTTTTCAAAATCGATTACCAGATGTTAATAATGAAGATTGAAACCATCCACGGTGTTGATCACTTCCTTCAAGATACAAATCTGAAATAGTAGGCGAATTTATACGACTATATAATAATAATAATAATAATAATAATAATAATAATACTATTATTTATTTATTTCAAGATTAGAGTTTTTGGGATAAATATAAATACTTTGGAAAATTATCTAATATTGTTGCCCAAGAAACACCACTATCAAACCAAACATCCATTGTATCCATGCCTTTTTTATATTTTACACCTAAGAATAAAGTAATATAAATATAAAAATTTTGGGTAAGATAGACGAGAAATTAAAAGAACCAAACTTACCATTATTTTGATATTCAGGTGCAAGTAATTCTCTTTCATCCAATATCCACCAACAATCAGAACCTTCACAGGATTCAATTATTTTAATAATATGAGCTATTGAAGAATCAGTTAATAATGGCGTATCTGATTCTACTTCATATAAAACTGGTATCGGGAGACCCCAATATCTTTGTCTTGATATACACCATTCACTACGAGATAAAATGAATTGTTCAAGACGATTACGTGCTTTTTAAAAAAAATCAAAATTAATTACAGAAAAATATAATAGTATATAATAAAAATCAATAAACACGACTTTTCTTCATACCAGATTCAGGAACCATTTTAACATTTGAAAGTAATTCAACTGCCTTTTGTTTAACTGCTCCAACATCAGCAAACCATTGAGGTGTAGCTCTTAATAAATAATATATATAAGCATATAAACATTATACATTATATATTATAAAAAAAGCTTTGTTGATTATTTACCTTAATATAACTGGCTCTTTAGTTCTCCAATCATAAGGATAATTATGTTTGAATTTTTCTACTGCAATCAAATAATTTTTTTTCTTGAAAAAATTTATAACAGCCGTTGAACCTTCTTTCAATACTGATAATCCTTCAAATGAAGCTTCTCCCACTTCAGATGTAAAATTTCCAAGATTATCAACAGGACAAAATGCTGGTATATTCAATCTTTTACATATTTCGTAATCTTCCATTCCATGACCAGGTGCAATATGAACCAAACCTTATTAAATTCAAATCAAAAAATATTATTATCATACAACTTTAATTTTTTAAAAAATATATATACACACACGAATAAAATTGTACCTGTTCCTGAATCCTCAGTTACATGCGATGATTCAATTACCTTGTAAACTTTATGATTTATTGGATGAATGTAGCTTGTTCCAATAAGCTTACAACCTTAAATATTTTAAATTAAATATTTTAATTAATCGATCAATCGATAATATTTATTGTTACAATTTGATCATCGTCTTTACCTTCAAATGTCTGATAAATCTTAAATTCAGATTCAAATA